TGTCTCTCTTGGTAGGAGGATTAGCTTTTTCTTCAAGATCTTCAGAAAGGGATGTGTGCATTTCCATAGGCTCTTTCGTAGGGTGAAGTTTGAAAATTAATTGTCTTTGAGTCCTAGAAAAGAAGGCTAATGATTATTTTTTTCTTTTTTAAGTGTGAGTATTGTTGTTAGTTTATATGATAAAGTATCCTGGGGATTTTAAGTATTTGGGGTAAACCATCCTGAAGGTTTAGGAAGAGAAGTTAAGGTTAGAAATTGGAATGATTTGAGCACAATTTTATTAGTGTACTGTATATGTTGTCGTGTAAGGCAATTGGTCGTTTAAGAAATCCCAAAATTGAAAAACAGGGTTGAACATAGGATTTAACCTATATAATTATATTTTTGAAAATCAGCTAAAATTGCTGTGTTCTTATTTTCAGGTATGTTAGAGATTTATAATACAAAAATTATTAAACCACAGACAGTTAAGATCTAAAAGTTAAACTTGGTGAAAGGAAACTCTTGCTTTCGTGGGAATTTTTAGTGGCCCAGACTCTATCTGGTATTCTGACATGTGCAGTACTGTAGCTTAGTTATTAATCTAAAGTAAAATTGTTTTATGTGTGTGAATTTGCAGTAGAATGATAGTCTGGTTATTTGTTCTATGAGTTATAGTGGATGGATTATTTCTTACTTTTTGATGGTCTTGTCTGTATTTTAAGATGGATTTAGGCTTATTTATTAGCTGAAGGTGAAATCAGATGTTTTATGATGATATTTAAGTAAATTGTGAAATGAATTAGCTGCTCTTGGATTTTTTAATCGGAGAAGGAAATGTAGAGATATATTCTTAAACTGCCTAGGCTGATAGTGTTTCTTGGATGCTACAATATGCTAAGAGGAAAGTGTATATTACAGGATTTACTTTTAAGACCTCAGAATGCCGTTCCTTTTATCAGTAAGTGGGCATTATATACCACAATACCATATATTGATTCTACTGAGAGCTAGAAAAAGTCTTGCTATTGTGATAAATAAAAGATAACTGCCACTATGTGTTCATACTTAGGATAGTTTTAGCAGCTATTATTTGCCAATTGAAAATTGGCAATTAGTATAGCCCATCTAGTACAACAGATACTTTGGAAGGCTTTCAATAATAAGCAGTATAAGTATTACCAATAAGATTTCAAGAAGCAGTATTGGATACTCATTTACATAAATGGTTCCTGTGTATTTCATGAGAAGTCTGGATGCTTTGATTAACAAGAATCTCCCATTTTGATATTAACTGTACCTCATCACAAGACAATGACCACTCATCGCCATAGAAGACGGATTTGTTCCAGAATTTCTCGTCACATATTTCTTGTGCCTTAGTAATATCATCAAATCAAGGAAATAAAGAGTATCTTGTTGAATTTGTAGAAATTGAACAGTTTTTATTTTACAGTTTTTATCCTACTGTAGTTTTGTTTATAGGGTTTTTAGTCTGTTTTGACTTTGTTATCTTATTATGTAGTTCTCAGCATTCCAAAGGTGCTATGTTTTGTTTGCTAATTTGAACATTATCCGTCATTAATTTTTATTAAGGACCAAAGAGGTTTTCATATTGACTTTGAAGAATGTTCTGTAAAAGTATGAGTTGGAGATCGACTGGAATTGCAAGATAGATAGGTGAATAAATTAATTGATTGATAAAAGATGAAATTAGTCAGACCCAACTTGGTTTTAATGAATGTCTCCTATTTAGGAGATATACCATTATTTAGTCATTCAGATGTTTTAAGAATTAAAAAGTTTAAAAGATTTTTTTTTTTCATTGTTAGAAAGCTTAAATGTCTGGAATTTAGAAGACCTCTCAAGGAGTTGGTTTTACCATGTCATTCAGTGGACAGTGGTGCCATATTCATTGCAGACTGATTCATTTCAAAAATTTTCAGACACACCCATATGCATGTTTTGTGTTCATGAAACAGTGTCTTGTTTTTCAAGTTTGAAGTTAAGAATCAGTTTACTTGGTGGTTGCTTTACTAAATCTTTTTGTTTTATTTGATTGGTGAATATATATATATATATATATATATATATATATATATATATATATATATATTATATATATTATATGTACATATATATATGTATATATATATGTATAAATAGATATAGATATAGATATTGATATAGATATTTTGTTTTGTTCATAGATTGGATTTTAGAAATAGGAAAGTATGTATTTGATTTTCAAGCACAGAGTGTTCAGTTCTTTAATGTGTTTTGATGTTTTTGTTTTGTTTTGCTAGTTATGTCAATTATTATGTTTTTGAAGATTTTATTTGCTCTGTTTTAAAGCCACTATTAATTGTAAGTGAAAGATACATATTTTGTAAAGAAAGAATACAATCTTTTTACTGAAATACTTTTTTGTTGTTTCCTTTTTTTCCATCAATTTTTGACACTGTGATCTTCCTTCCAGGTAAGTATTACTGTGCTCCCTGCGACCTCACGCTAAACTCGG